TCAAAAATTACTAATCAAAAATTTATAAATATTATACCTATTGAATGTTTGATAGGTGTAAGAGTAATATATATATTCATATATATACTTATTAGATATCTGATAAGTATATTAGATACCTAATAAATATAGTAAAATATTTTTTATATCTATTAGATATCTGATATACCTATTGAATACCTGATATATCTATTGAATACTTGATAAGTATATAAACATGTATATTACTCTTACACTTATCAGGTATTTGATAGGTGTGATATTTATAAATTTTTGACCAGTGAATTAAAAATCAATTTTGGAAACATGTATAAATTATATTATTATTATTAAAAATTGTTATTGTGAAATTATATATTTAATTAGAATTCAAATAGTTATGTATTATGGTTTTTTGAAAATTATTTCAAAATTATATTAAAAAAAAAAATTTGAAAACATATGGATACATTTTTGAAATTAAAAATAATAGATTATATAAATTTTACAACTGTTACTAATAAGTAAAATTAATAAAGTATATATATAATATACCTTTTTTTAATAATTAAAATTTCTTTTTTAGTATTAAACTAAATAAAATAATAGAAATAGAATAAAATAACTATGTTAAGTATTAGAAGAAAAAAATAAAATAAGTTGTTAAAAGTTGAACAATAAAATAATTAATTAGGCAATGAAACAATTGATTAAATAATTATTTATTTATTTGTTTAAACAGATGAAATATCTTAATTTATTTAATAAATTTTTATAAAATAATATAAGTATATATAAAATATTGTACTAAATACTATTATTTAAAGGTCAAAAAGTAGTTAATATAATAAAGTTCTAAGTTTTTTATAAACTTTATTATTTTTTTTGATTTTTAATTAGATTCCAAAAATATATCAATATAAAAATTATAATAATTAGGTAGTATATGACATTTTAAAAAATAGAATTGTGCTTGTATTACATAAATATATATATATATATATTTTGTTCATATTTTATCTTAGTTTTTTATAACATTTTTTCTTTTAGATTTATCAGAAAAATTTAATATCTCCTTAATTATAGATAAAATAAAAAAGAAAAAATATTATACTGGTCAAAAATTTATAAATACTACATTTATCAGATGTCAGATAGGTAACAGATAAGTATATTAGTTTTGCTAAATATCAGGTATCTGGTATTTGTAAAATATCTGTAGGATATTTTACAAATAGACATATCAGTAAAATATTCTACAGATATCTTATAGATATTAAATACCTGATATGAAATATCAATATTCAATATTTAGCAAACCAACACATTTATCTATTATCTATTTGACATTTAATAAGTATAATATTTATAAATTTTTGATCAGTGTTATTAATACTGATATTGATAAAAAAATTTTTTTATATATTATATATATTTAACAAAATATTTTACCAATATCTAATAAAACTTAGAAATATCTTTATATAAAAAAAAATATCAAATTTGTTTTAAAATATCCATTATTCTATTTTTTTAAGTAAAATAAATATCTTAAAAATTTCAAAAAAATAAAATACTTTCAAAATTAGAAGTTAATTTTGAGAACATATATAATATAGATATTTTTTTTATATATAGAGTTTTTAGATTTTGTACTAGTGCATATTCTATATATTGAATTTCAAATATTGATATAAATTATACACATATCAAATACAAAAAAATTATCATATCAAAAAAAAATTCTGATTTTAGCTAATTTGTACAATCAAATATAAAAGATATGCTGTACTGAAAAGAAATTTTGATTTTAGTTATTTTATAATATAGGATGCAATAGGACAATTGATTGTTACTGATTTTTAGCTAATCTATAATATAGGAATTACCATTTGGTACAATGATTCTTTTGTATTTAACTAGTGTAGGATGTAATAGGACAGTTGATTTTTTCTGATTTTTAGCTAATCTATAATATAAGAATTACTATTTGGTACAGTAATTTTTTTGTATTTGACTAGTGATATATAAGTTAATGAGTAACCTATTTGAATCTCTAATTACAAGTACTAAGCTTTTCATTTATAATGTAAATTAGAATTTCAAACAGATTAACTCATTAATTTGTATATGACTTGTATAATATAAAGTATTATTATAGAAATATAATAAATTATAACTTATATATTAAATTGTATATAAAATTCTGATTCATTTGATTTGAAAAGAAACACTAGTATAAATATTATTAAGTTTTTCATCATTTGTATTATAATTTTTTTCATATAAAAAATTATTAAAATCTATTGTCTGTGATAAAGATAATAATTAAATTAAATAATTTAACACATATCTTAAACTTTTTTATATAAATCAGATCAAATTATATGAAATATGTTATTATGCATAGGGATTTCTTATAAATTATATAATTAGTAGTGATAGTGATTATATATAAATTCATTATATGTAATAATTAAATATAGAAAAAATTAATACAAAAAATTTAAAAAATTTGAGTTCAAAAAAAGTGATGATTATAACAAAAAGTGATTATATAGATATTTTTAATATATCTTTCCATGATTAATTGTCTTATTATTATATTAAATATTAAATTAAAACTTCAACAAAAATATTTTTCTTTGCTTGTATTTTTGATATTTATTCTTTTACAATTTTTGTTAATAAATTTTGTATTTTGATAATTATTCTTTCTACAAATTTTTGTTAATAAAATAATTAATTAAAAAAAGTATAAAATAAAAAAAACTGAATGAATAATTGGATCAAGTATTTAAAACATTACCATTCACCTTATATATGAGAATTGAAAATTTTTATAAGTTGGTTTATTCATTTTTCCTTTAATTGAACTATAAAAAATTTACTGTATCAGTATTAACAAAGAAAATACATAATTAAGATAAATATATATATTTAATTGAGAATTACCTTTTCACTTTTTTGATGATTTGATGTTAAAAATAAAAATTCAAATTATTTATTTACTTTCTGTTATTGAAGAGAAAGGATCGTCTTTTCTTGCTTCAACCAATAATTTATCGATTTGTTTTTGTTTAACTGCAATCTTTGTATATATTGTATTAATATTTTGAAGAAAAAATATTTTATAAAAATAAAATTTTGCGATAATTTCTTATTACTTGAACGCAATCTCGATATTTTTTAAAGAGTTCTTCACATTCAGGTCGTGGATCACCTTTAAGAAACTTTTCAGAATACCATCTGTTAAAACAAGCATCGTATTCTTTTTTTAATTCATTGCAATTTACACCAATACTTTGTGACATTTTTTTTTTTTGATAAAAATTATTTCAAATCAAAAATAATTATCACAAATGATTGCCTATTAAATATATTACGCATAATAATAATAATAATAATGAAATATTCACGAGATATTTCTTCTAATCTTTTAAAAGACCTTCAAACAATTCAAAACGAAAAAATTCGAACTCGAGAACAAATTCATGAAAAACTTGTATCTTTCGTAAGGTTTTTCTTTTAATTTTCTTTTAAAAAAGAAATTTTTTATAAACAAACGAAAATAATTCTCGCGTTTATTCAATAAAAAAAAAAAACGGAAAAATAAGACACCCGAAATTCAAGGTTCTTACGCTCAGCGCTCTAAATCATTAAAGGAATTGGAAGATGATTATCATAAAGTAGGTAATTATCTTATGTAATATATAATAGATTAATTATTAAGTAACTATAGGAATTATTTTTTTCTCTATTCCAGATCTACTTGAGTAAAAACCATTTAGCCGAAAAATATGCATTAACGCGACATTTAACGAAAGATCTCGAAGAGACGACGGCCAAAAGGTTATCATCATTGAATTTATTGTTATCTAATTATTATAATTATTTTACGACTAATTGAGCTAATTGTTGTTTTTAGCAATAATTTTAATGATATAATTATTGAAGAAGAAACTTGGAGGAATAATATGCAAAAATTAGATTGGAGATTGTTAAATATTCCAAGTAAATCCTCATACATATTGAAATATGTAATTTATTATTCGAGGATTTTAAATATTTTAAGTAAAAGCTAAAAGATCATTCTTTTTTTTTTTTTTCAAAGTGACAATTCAAATCATGTCCGAAGAGTGGAAGAATAAAGCAATTGAAAACGAAGAAAATTTATTGGCAAAATGGTATTGGCAATTAAGAAATTATACACTTGAAATAAAGTCACGCCGATCTAATAGTAAATTACCGTCATCGGCTCTAGGTAAATATTATATAAATATATATCATAGCATTTACATTGACTAATATATATATATATATTATTATTTTTAATAAAGAGAATTTATTATTGGATGTAATTGCCTATGATATTAAATATTGCATTGGAATTCCTCCAAGTTCAAGAAAACAACAACGTAAATCTGTGATGTTAAAATTCAGTACAAGATATCGAGGACATATTGTACTTATATTTATATTTATAATCAGGTATGAAATTATTTCTGAAATGATTATTATTATTATTTTATTGTTTTATTATCATATTTTTTTATCATATTTTTTTCGTGACGCGTGATTCAATCAATCAATATAATCATCATATTGAAAAGCCAAGAAGTTTCTCCTCGATATGATATTAAATTTGATTATTCACTTGATCGATCGACTGAAATGTTTCGTGAGATGATGAATATTAGAGAAACTAACTTACCAGAACAACAAAGCCAACAAAACAGTTACTTATCATCGTCATCACTTAACAAGGAAGATATGATAAATTTCGTGAAAGAAGTTATTTGGAAAGAAATGGATGATTTATTTTGTAATTAATCTTTATATGTATTATAAATAATAAAGTTTAACTTATCAAACAAATAATAAAAATAAATCTTAGAATAACATTAGAATAGTGTTTGTTATAAATTAATAAAGGAGAATATGTTACAAGTTGAACTAACAATATAATATCATTTAAAGAATGTATACTTAAAGCATATTAAAACGTAATTTGCGCCTTCAAACATGTTTTTTTTTCTTGCATAATTTTGTTGACAATGCGATTCTTGACTTTAGAGAATATCACCCTGAATTCAAATAACGTTGTTGCAAATATAATAAATAATTATTTTCAAGCTTCCTTGTAGGAATCGAACCTACTGGGAAAAGAAATCCCAAACCATTAGGAAGTTTTGGTGACCCGGAAAC